CAATTACTTGCTGCATGACCTTGGGAACATTACTTTATCTGAGCTTCTTTCTGTCCACCCAGAACAGGATATTTACTGCCTTTCTTGTAGAGGTGTTCTTTCATGAGTTAACACATGTAATATTTTTAGGACAGTACTTAGAAGTTTTGCTTGATATTATGATCATTTTTGTTAACTATACAAGTAACAGTGAGATTATTTAATAATTCATGCTTGCTACTTTTCAGTTCATGAAAACTGCAATATTGACTCACTATCAAAAAAATGATGACATTGAGTTCTGGTGAAATGCGCAATTTTTTAAAAAATGAATCATTCATAGGTTAACATCAAAGTTGAACTGAAGTTACTTCAAAATTTAATTTAGTTTTGAAGATCACCTTCTAGTAACACGAATCACTAAGAATCTGGCTATATATGTATAAATACTGCTTTTGTAGAATAGTATATATGTAGAAAAAAATGTGGATGAATAGACACGAAATGGTTAAAGGTAGTCAGCTCTAAGGAGTGGGATCACAGTGGGGGACAGGGGAATGGACTTTCTATTTTATTTACTGCTTTTGGTGCTTTAAAAAACAAACAGCAGATATTACTTTTATTATCTGGAAAAAGTATAATTTAAAAATAAATATGTGAAAAATAAGGCCTACTGAAATCGCAGCCTCATCAAAAAAATTTGACAAGACTTGTTCTGTGATGGCTCCCAGTGATCGTTCCTTCCCCAATGCTCTGACATCTTCCTTGTAGTTGACATTGACCCACCAAGTCTCTAGTCCTAGGGTTTCCCTAAGCACCAAAGAACCACTTGCACCATAGACTTTGCATCTGGTTTCCATGTAGAGATGAGTTCCTTGTGGGGGTGGGGGCTGGGTTTAGTAGGCGCAACATTTCAGGATTAGATAAAATGTGTTCACTTTAAAGGAGAGATTTCACGTCCAGCCTTTCCAGCCATGACCTACGACCTACTGAGGACATTATTGTTGTCAAAGGCAGCTCAATTACACGTATTTCTAAGTAGAGATTTAAAAGGGGACTGTGGCTGTTATTTCACACCCCAAGATGGCATTCAAGCTTTGCTTTTGAATTATTCCTGAAGTTATTTCTAAAACCAATCCTGCACTCCATTTTAATCTTTCTTTCCCATTTCTGGCCCGTCCGGGGTCTAGCCTAAGCTCCCTTCCTAAATTCCATGTCTCCACATTTTCCCTCCGCCCCTTTCTTCCTGGAGCTCCCGTTTCTCGTCGGAGCAGGGAGGGGGAGGGGCGAGGCTGGCTTTGGCGTCAACAGCTGCATGAGCAGCAGCTTCCTGCGTCCCCAGGCAGCCTCGTTTCTGCGCAGGGTGTCCAGTGGCTGCCGGAGACTCCCGCAGTTTCAAATGCTGCTTACTGACTTCACCTCATTAAGGTCTTAAAGGTGTCTGTACCAGGAAGGATGTCTCTAGAATCCTAGATGTTCCATCTAGATGCTCCCTCTGTGACTGAGTGGTACTTGTGAGTGTAAATAACAGCCACGAAAGCCAACTCTTCACATCATAGTGTGTATCAATATAGAAAAACACCCTGCCCCTTGGGCTGCTATTTGGCAGAAGCTTTATTTCACAGAAGCTGGCTGCTGTTCTTGGTGGCAAAGAATGCTACCACGTTACCTCCAGGGCGAGCTTACTGACACTCATTGTCTGGGCTTAAGGTTACAACATCAACATTGCATGTCATCCTCAACTTGCACACTCACTTCAATATGAAACTTGAAAAGAGATGATTCTAGGAAGGCTCCCCTTCCAAAGCTGTTGGGAACAATCAACAAAAGATGTCATAGGCCATGCTCTGAACAAGGGGGAAAGTTGATGAGATTACTGATGACAGATTCTGAGTGAGACGCTCTTCCATGTGGCTGTGAGGGTGGCTTCCACAGATTCTGAGGAATTAGCTGATCTATTTCTCCCTTCATTTATTTCCTTCCTTCCTTCCTCTCTCCTTCCCTCTGTCCCTCCCTCCCTCCCTTCCTTCCTTCCTTCCTTCCTTCCATCCATCTGTCCATACATCTCCCTCAACTTTAGATTAATTCAGCTGTCTGATCAGTCATCACAGGTATGGGTGGGTGACAAACTCTGTTCCCAAAGTCCTCCAGGCCAAGTTCAGAGCAAAACTAGTGTACATGTTGGGCATTTGACCCCATTCAAAGTTGCTTTGAATATAGTCTGGTACTTTGAATAGACTCTGGTGGGCACTTTCTGGGACGAGATGGCATGTGGCTCAGGGTTTAATTTTTACAACAAAACTGTAACTTGGTTATCTTTCTCCTCTGAGTACCTGGAGCATATGTATTCCCCTCCCACTAATAAGTCCTTCCCTTCTGACAGAGGTATAAAACCTGGTTGTTCAGAGCATACAATTCAGAGTCCTACAGCCTAGAGTTAGCCCCTCAGTCCTGCTACGTATCATTGACAACATTTATAACGTCTGTTCCTTGGTTTTCCCATCTGTGCAATGGATATAATAATAGTGTCTACTCAGAGGGGGGCTGGGAAGAATAGTGAAAAAGGATTTGTTGAGCACTTGAGATCCTCCTTTGTGCCAGCAGGTGGGACAAGGGAGGCACAGTCATAACAGAGGTTGTTCTGGGCTTGCTTCCTTTTCGTGCTATAATGATCTTTGAAAACAATGATAATAACAATTGCTAAATTCGCTGGGCATCTACTATGTGCAGGGCTTTACTTGTTTGATCCTCACCACAAGCCTGGGAGAAGCCCAAGGTACAAGCTGGACGAGCAAAGGGCTGGCTACACAGTCGGATGCTCTTCCATGTGGCTGTGAGGGTGGCTTCACATCCTCAACCTTTATTGAAGGTCATTGTGAGAAGTAGCCATGTGACGACCGTTTCTGAAGATGTTCTTCGGCTGTTACCGAACATTGCACATTTCATTGCCTCATGGTCTTTATAAAGGCAAATGTCATAAATTCATCTCAGAGCTAAGAAAAAGGTTGTCTCTCTCAATGATGTCTTACGTTTCCTTTTATTAGACAGATGTATGGGCCTAACGCCCAGGTATTCTGATCCAGGATGTCTGAGTAAGGCTGGTTAATTAATTGTTTTTAAAATGCTCCCTGCGAACCTGAGGTGGGAGGTGTGTGCAGGGTGAGGAGCTCTGTGTGACGCTTTGTCAGCTCTCCCTGGGCCCAGATTACTTGGCATCCTGGAGCTAAGGTTTGCGCTCAGTGATAGCTTCCTTTTACCTGGGTTTTCTGGTAGAATTTTCGCACCCCTTTCATATCTCGTCTCCTGTGTTTTCATTTATCTTCTTTTAATATTATTTTAGTTCACACGTCCTTAATTATAAAGTGACTTAAGTCTGCTTTCAGCAGAAAAACAAATGAAAGAACAAATGTCATCATCCAGCCCAAGTTTCCAACAAGATTTTTCTTAAATCATCTCTTTATTCTTTTTTTTCCCATGGCTCCTTCACCTGCTTTGGCTGCTGGTTTTTTTAGTTAATTGTTTGACAAAGTAAACAATTACATTTATTCACTTTAAAAAGGCACTAATGTATTCTAAAGGGAGACTGGCTCCCCCTCAAATGTCTTGAGGCATGGTAATTGTGAAGAGAGACAGTTCTAGGTGAAGTTGTTCAACCTGAAGATAATGAGATTGTCTGGAGAGGGACCATAATGAGTTCAAAGGAAGGTGCTGGAATAAACACAGACCAGCAGGTTGTTAATGCAGGGTAGAGTCGCCTCCTCTCAGGGCTCCCACCCCATTCCATTGGTGTGGGTTTAGGTGTATCCTTTGCTGACAGTGTGTCAACATGCAGCAATTATGTTGTTGTTGTTAATAATATGAAAGGACTTTAGTAGATGAACTTGGCTTAGGTCCCTGAACATTGCATTTACAATGAGCTTTCCTTGCTTAACAGCAGCCTTTATCGAATAAAAAGAGGCAATTCCAAAGGTTGTTGCAAGATACCAGGCTAGGACAAATGCACGCTTGTATGTGGGAATATGACTGAGGCCAGGGGAAAAGGACATGGGCTTAAGTAGATCTGGTACGACTGTCTGGGTTAACACAGTGATGTGTATGTGGCAGGAATTTGTTTGGTCCTGTCTTCTATGTAGGGAATAGAACTTAAAAAATCATTTAGTGTGGAAAAATACTCCAATACTAACAGATTATATTAAATGGTTCGATCAGTGGAGTGGTTTTTGAATTAAACTTTGAAAAATCCTGATAAACCTCTATATATTGTGTCCTGTGCTGCTAATCAGCATAAGTGACTCACAACTAAGTTTAACCAGCCTTTTTCATCCCAGATGTTGAACACAATAACCCAGTTATTTAATTTGGGCAACTTTCTCTCCAGTTTCCAAGAAATCAATGGTAAATTTATACCTTTCAAGGATCTGGTCCATGTAAACTTTTGCACTAGACGCTGTCACTGTCCTTTAACAATTAACCATGTGAATTGGGCCAATATGCTACATAGGAAAAATTCACCAGCAATACAAAGCAGTGTGCATTAATGGTGGTAACAGGTGACAGAAACACAGTTTGCCAGGAATTCAGAGACAGGATGATCATGTGAGTTGATGAAGATGAGCACACGCTTCCCCGGAGATGTGACCTGGTGTATGGTCCAGTTGGATCCTTGTGCACTATGGGAACCCCCTTCTCCAACCTCAGAGGGCACACTTCCCTGGAATTTTCCTTTTCTTCTCACCACCACACCTCTGCTGGTGCCACTCCTCCCACTGAGAATGTCCAACCTCTTTGTCCATTTAGCACTGTTCTCCCCAGGTTTCTAAACCCAGGTTGTTGGGGACCTTGAATCTGTGGTTTAGAAATGTATACTTTCTGTTTATGAAAATCACTGCCTAGTTTGGGGTGAGGTTGTGAAGTGATTAAGTTGTCAACCCTGGCTAGGTTTATAAGAGAATCATTTCCAGACATTCAGCATAACGAGCTTGTGCCTCCTATTTATTTATTTACTTAGTTATTTATTTTCAGGTCAGATGGATAATGTCACATTATAACAAGGTGTGAGGGAGGCACATCTCACCCATAAGCATGGAAACTCAATCATCACGCCTTTGAACTACAAAAAGATCACTACTGTTCTTCCCTAGGATATCTGAGAGGGGGCTAACAGTGATTTATAGCCCTATTTTATTTTATTGCGCTTTGCTTTACTGCACTTTGTAGGTACTTTGCTTCTTACCAATTGAAGGTTTGTGGCAACCCCATGTCAAGAAAGTCTACAGGCTCTGTTTTTCTGAAAGCACGTGCTCATGTCATGTTTCTGTGTCATGTTTTGGTAATCCTTATACTAGTTTAACCTTTTCTATTATTATTATACCTGTTATGGGGATTTGTAATCAGTGATTTTTGCTATTTCTGTTGTCATTGTTTTGGGAGTACCATGAACCACATCCGGGTAAGATGGTGAACTTAACTGGTGATTCAGTTTGTGTGCATTCTCTCTGCTCCTCTGATGGGTTGTTCCCCCATCTCTCTCCCTTTGCTTGAGCAACAGGACAACATTGAAATTAGGCCAGTTAACAACCCTACAGTGCCTCTAAGCGTTCAAGTGAAAGAAGGAGTAGATGAAAAAACTATGCTTAGTGAGGAAGCTGAGATAGGCTGAAAGCCAGGCCTCTTGGCCAGATTGATGAAGATGTGAATCCAAAGGAAAAGCTCTTGAAGGAAATTAATTAAAAATGCTACTCCCATGAACACATACATGACTAGAAAGTAGAACAGCCTTATTGCTGATATGAAGGAAGTTTGAGTGGTCTGAACAGAAGACCTGGCCAATGATAACATTCCCTTAAGCTAAAGCCTAATCCAGAGCAGGGCTTTAACTCTCTTCAATTCTGCGAAGGCTGAGAGAGTTGAGGAAGCTACAGAAGAAAAGCTAGCAGGGGCTGGTTCATGAGGTTTAAAGCAAGAAGCCATCTCTATAACGTAAAGTTGTAAGGTGAGATAGTAAATGCTGATGTGGAAGCTGTAGCAAGTTGTCCAGAAGATCTAGCTAAGATCATTGACGAAGGTAGCTGCACTAACCAATAGATTTTAGTGTAGACCAAACAGCCTTATACTGGAAGAAGTTGCCCTCTAGAACTTTTTTGTTGTTGTTGTTGCAAGGGCGTGTTTTGATCCTGCCACCCTCAGTACATGGGCCCAGCACCCTACTCACTGAGCCATAGTCTGTTGACTTTAAATTTAAGTCATTTCAAAAACCCTAGGACACTTAGGAATTAGGCTAACCCTACTCTGCCTGTGTTGTGTAAGTGGAATAACAAAGCCTGGATGACAGCACAGCTGTTTATAGTATTCTTCACTGAATACTTAAGGCCCACTGTTGAGAACTATTGTTCAGAAAAAAATCTTTCACAATATTGCTGCTTATTGACAATGCATCTGTCACCAACAGCTCTGATGGGGATATTCAAAGAGATGAATGTTGTTTTCTTGCCTGTTAACACAACATCCATTCTGTAGCCCATGGGTCAGAATAATTTTGACTATCAAGACTTTTTGTTTTCATTAAATCATAGCTGTGTACATTAATGTAGTCATGGGGTACAGTGTGCTGGTTTTATATACAGTTTGAAATATTTTCATCCAACTGGTTAACATTGCCTTCATGGCATTTTCTTAGTTATTGTGTTAAGACATTTATATTCTACATTTAGAAAGTTTCACATGTACCCTTGTAAGATGCACCGTAGGTGTGGTCCCACCCATCCTCCCCCCTCCCCTGCCCTCCCTCTCCCCTTTCCCCATATTCTTGGGCTATAATTGGGTTATAGCTTTCATATGAAAGCTATAAATTAGTTTCATAGTAGGCCTGAATACATTGGATACTTTTTCTTCCATTCTTGAGATACTTTGCTAAGAATAATATGTTCCAGCTCCATCCATGTAAACATGTAGGAGGTAAAGTCTCCATCTTTCTTTAAGGCTGCATAATATTCTATGGTGTACATATACCACAATTTATTGATCTATTTATGGGTCAGTGGGCACTTGGGCTTCTTCCATGACTTAGCAATTATGAATTGGGCTGCAATAAACATTCTGGTACTAATATCTTTGTTGAAGTGTGATTTTTGGTCTTCTGGATATAAACCTAGTAGAGGAATTGTAGGATCAAATGGCAGGTCTATTTTTAGTTCTCTAAGTGTTCTCCAGATGTCTTTCCAAAAGGAACATATTAGTTTGCATTCCTCCCAGCAGTGTAGAAGTGTTCCCTTTTCTCCACATCCATGCCAGCATCTCTGGTTTTGTGATTTTGTGATACGGGCTAATCTTACTGGAGTTAGATGATATCTCAAAGTAGTTTTTATTTGCATTTCTCTAATGATTAATGATGATGAACATTTTTGCATATGTCTGTAGGCCATGCGCCTGTCTTCTTCAGAGAAGTTTCTCTTCAAGTCTCTTGGCCACTCTGAGATGGGATCACCTGTTCTTTTCTTGCTAGTATACTTGAGTTCTCTGTGGATTCTGGTTATTAAACCTTTGTTGGAGACATAACCTGCAAATATCTTCTCCCATTCTGAGGGCGATCTGCTTGCTTTACTTACTGAGATCTTGGCTATGTAGAAGCTTTTTAGTTTGATTAGGTCCCAGTAGCGTATTTGTGATGTTGTTTCAATTGCCTGGGGGTGGGGGGGTGTCCTCCTCATAAAATATTCACCCAGGCCTATTTCTTTAAGTGTTTTCCCTACACTTTCTTCTAGTATTTTTATAGTTTCATGTCTTAAGTTTAAATCTTTAATCCAGTGAGAGTCTATCTT